GTGGTCTTTGATATTCATCAGTAAGTCCTCTTGACTTTCAGAAAGTAAGGTTGTATCACCTGCATATCACAGATTGTTAATGAGACTTCCTGCAATTCTGAGGCCACATTCTTCATATTTTTTCCAAATTATTTCTTCAGCATACAGATTGAATAACCATGTAAGTTATTCTTATTCATGTTTTCCCACATAAACTCCAGGCTTTCTTTGGAAAACAACCCTGGCTCATACCTTTCCTGATTTTAGACCTTTCAGTCTGCCCTTGTTCTATTCAAATGACTGTTTCTGGGTCTATATACAGGTTTCTTATGAGTACAATTAAGTGTTCTGGAATACTCATTCTCCTCAGTGTTGTCCATACATTGTCATGATCCACTATGCAATAGTCAATAAAGCACACATAAACATCTTTCAGGTATTCCCTGCTTTCAGTCAAGATCCACCTGACATCAGCAATGACATACCTCGTTCCACCTCATCATCTGAATCTGGTTTGAACCTTTGGCAGTTCCTGTCAATGTACTGCTATAGCCATTTTTGAATTATCATGAGCAAAATTTTACTTGCATATGATATTAATGATATTATCTGATTATTTTGGCATTCTGTTGGGACACCTCTCTTTGCAATGGGCAGAAATACAGATTTCTTCCAATCAGTTGACCAGGTATCTGTCATTCAAATTTCTTGGAGTAGATGAGTGAACACCTCCAGTACTGCATCAGATTTCTGAAAGATTTCAGTTTGTATTCCATCAATTCCTATAGCTTTTTTCTTTGTCAGTGCCATCAATGTACCTTGTAGTTCTTTCTTTAGCACCACTGGCTCTTGATCATATGCTATCTCTTGAAATGGTTGAACATCAACCATTTCTTTTTGTTACCATGAGTGTGCATTCCTTCCTTCTTCTTCTGATGGTTTCTGTGTTATTCAATCCTTTGCCCATAGAATCCTTTAACATTGCAAGTTGAGGTTTGAATTTTATCTTCAGTTCTTTCAATTTGAGAAATGCTGACCTTGTTCTTCTCTTTTGGTTTCCTAATGTCTGGTCTGCACATTTCATTAGAATACTTGACAAGGTTGTATTCTTTCACCATACGTATTCAGCCTGTATGTTGAGAAATAATCTGAGAAGCTGGGTTATATGGAGAAAAATGTGGCATCAGGATTGGAGGAAGACTAATTAACAACCTGCGATATGCAGGTGATACAACCTTGCTTGCTGAAGGTTAAGAAGACTTAAAACATTTACTGATGAAGATCAAAGAGCACAGCCTTCGGTATGGATTACATCTCAATGTAAAGAAAACAAAAATCCTCACCACTGGACCAGTAAACAACATTCTTATCAACAGAGAAAAGATTGAAGTTGTCAAAGACTTCATTCTTCTCGGATCAACTATCAACACTCACGGAAGCAGCAGTCGGGAAATCAAATGACGTTTTGCATTGGGCAGATCTGCTGCACAAGACCTTTTTATAGTGTTGAAGAGTAAAGATGTCAGCTTGAGGACTATGGTGCACCTGACCAGAGCCATGGTATTTTTAATAACCTCATGAATGCGAAAGCTGGACAGTGAATAAGGAAGATCATAGAAGAATTGATGCTTTTGAGTTATGGTGTTGGAGGAGAGTATTGAAAGTGTCATGCCATGGGCTGCCAAAAGAACCAATAGATCCGTTTTGAAAGAAGTGCAGCCAGAGTTGTTTCTTGGAGGCCAAGATGGTAAAACTTTGTCTCTCATACTTTGGACATATTGTCAGGAAGGACACTGGAGAAGGATATCATGTTTGGTAAGGTGGAGGGTCAGAGAAAAAGAAGAAGACCACCAATGAGATGAATTGGCCAAGTGGCAGCATCGATGGACTCAAGCATGGCAACAGTAGTGATGTTGCCCAGGATCGGGCAGTGTTTCATTCTGCTGTGTGTAAGGTCACTGTCAGTTGGTACTAACTCGATGGCACCTAACAACAACAACAACAACAACAAGTGTTGTGCTGTGAGTTAATGTGTTGTAGTGAAAAGTCTGTTTGAACTGCAAAGTCAGCTGTTCAAGCTCACCAGACACTCCTCTGAAACCCTGTACAGGGTTGTTATGAGTTGGAACCCATTCGATGGCACTTAACAACAACAACACATTCCTAAGGCACTTATTGGTAATTATTTGGTCCAGCGACTCTTTGAGAACAATAGTTTTGAAGTTCTCACAGCTGTCTTGTGTGCTCTGTAATCATGTTCTTAAAGTCCAAATATTAGGCACATTACCAATAAGCAAAGTTTCAGAAAGATTCTATTATTTCTGTATATATCATTACATTATATGTATATGTATAGTGAAACTCATGAAAGCCAGAACTCAACAGGATTGCTGTTTTTTTCTGGGTCTTCCATGTTTTATGCCTTTGACAGTATGCTTGCAGGCTCACCACTTTTCTATTGTTTTAGTGGAAAATATTTTGAGTTTTTCTTTTCCAAAAAAATTCTGCCTTATACAAGTTCTGACTTTCACAGATACTGAGATACTACATTTTTGAAATATAAGAATTTATCTGTTTGACCAAAGGACATATTTCAGTGTCAAACATCTGAAAGCTACTAAGAAATTAGCGTGTTGTTGCTATTGTTAAGTGCCACTGAGTTGGTTCTGACCCATCGTGACCGTGTATAGAGTTTCCATGGATCGGCTGGTGAGCTTGAACCGCCAGCCTTGCAGCTCAGCACATTAACCCACAATATCATACAAGGACTCCAAAAAGTTAGCCAGGGTTCACTATTTACTGTTGTAACTTCAAAAAGGTTCTAGTCACCTACCTCTAAATCAGTCACTACTCAGAAAGAAGTCTCAGAGCAAAGTATCAACACATAGGAAGATAGGGAAGTGGGGCTCTCCCTGATTTATCTCCCCAACTGGAAGGCAGCCTGAGATCTTTATGGGGGGAGGGAGTTGGGGGCAGAAAATCAATAGCACAGAACGTGTTTTTATTTTTCTATTCCAATATTAGGATGATCTCATCATTAGTTAGGGTGGTCTAGTGCCAAACATAGTGACTGTTCCAACAATTCTTGTTTGCTAATTTCACTTTTGATCTCAGGAAGAAAGTTCCCACTCTCATTTGAATCACAAATCTGTTTTAGAAATTGAAATGGTGTGAATAATTATGGAATGTAGCTAGGGAGGAAATTAAATGTTAACTTTAGTCAGTGTTTTAGGATGGCTATTCAGGTTCTCTTTTACTTCAGGCTAAACCAAAACCTTTTCATTGCACCCATTGCTCATTGCCCCCAATTTACTATCATTTCAAAGTCTCGTAATTTAAAAACAACAACAAAAAACTCCTGTAATTAACATATTAGAAAAACTTTAGGAATTTCAAAGGTAGTGAGGGACTACAGTGAAAACCAATCTTTTATTCTTTTTTGGAACATTTTATATGGTTTGGGTAAAAGTTTACATAATAGACTAGTTTTCCATTCCACAGTTGATGCACATTTTCCTTCATGACATCAGTTGCTATTCCCTCAGTGTAATAGCACTTTCTCCCAGGAGTTCTGGTGTGGTGCTGGGAGATAAAGCACTAAATTGCAAGGTCAGTTTGAACCACAGGATCAGTGGTTCAAACCTTATACAGGATGGACTATGAGTCGAATCTGGCTTGAAGACACAACAACACCATCAGCCCTGGGTTTCCTGTTTTCATTTGTTCTTTTGTAGCTTCTAAACTTGGTTTTGGGGCAATACTACCCTTTTGGTTTCCTATGGAACATTCCTCACAGGTGTCTTTTTTTTTTTTTTTTTTTTTTAAACTTTATAGGACTGTCTACTGCTTGGCTGAAAGGTAATGGTTACCAAGGAAAGGATGGAGAAGGAAGGAAATTCAGTAACTATAGTGTTGTTAAGTTGGTTCTAATTCATAGCAACCCTGTATATGGTTTCTGAGGAGTGACTGGTGATCTTGAACCACTGACCTTACATTCAAACCAACTTTGCAATCCAATCCAGTGCATTAATCCACAGCACCACACCAGGACTCCGTGTTGTTGTTAAATTGGTTCTGATCCATAGCGACCCTATATAGGGTTTCCAAGGAGCAGCTGGTGAGCTTGAACCACCAACCTTGCAGATCAAACGGCTTTTCAGTCTGGCGCATTAACCCACATTCCACACCAGGACTTCATAGACATATAATAATTTGGGTAAAAGGAAAAGGAATATACAATAAGAGGGAGGTCACTACAACATGAACAAGGCAAAGGAAGACACTGGGAGGTGCACAGAGTAAAAGGCGACATTGACAAATATTATTACATATGTTGTTGTTGTGGTTGTTAAGTGCCAGTGACTCACTTCTGACCTATAGCAACCCCATGTAGGGTTTTCTAAGAGTTACTGGAGAGCTTCAACCACCGGCCTTGTGGTTCAAACCAACTTTTCAGTCCAGTGCATTAAACTGTTACAGTACCGTACCAGGACTCCTCTATTACATATACAACCCTGCAGCATACAAATAAATATGTGCACATATCCTCTGAGAAACCCATATATACTCAATGGAAGACTCCCATTCACCATCTCACACCTGCTTACCTTTCATAGCTAGCTCTGTATCCATTCATAGATTATTGTTTGTTATTAATGTTACTGCATGATTATATACTATTATATATATAATATGTAATCCAGCAATCCAAACACACAAGCTGGTCCTTGGAAATCCTATCCAGGGTCGCTGTGAGTTGGAACTGACTTGGTGACACTTAATAACAACAACAACAAAAGTAGGCTTTATTCTTGCTTTCTGAAGAGCGTTAAAGCAGAGGACAAGGTCCAGTCGTGGAAAGTAGGTAATGATGGGAGTAGTCAACTGACTTGCCCTAGGTCATGGAGCTGACAACTATAGATCCACATGTGAGTTCTGTGTTTTGCCCCTGTCCAGTGATGTTTCCATTTTAATCTAAGCATTACAGTAAACTAAACGTTATTTTTCTGTTTACTTTTCAGATATGCAACACTACCATGGATGTATCTGATGTCCAGAGTCTTTTCAAGTTCAGATGTAGCTTTCATCTCCTACATCTCTTTAAACTTCATCTGTGGCCTCTGCACCATGCTCATGACTATCATGCCTCGGCTGTTGGTTATCATCTCCAAATCACAGGTCAGTGAACATCAACATCACATCCAGAGGCACTCTTTTTTTTGTTGTTGTTTAAGTGTTTATTGTGAATTGAGTAATAGTTTACATGGGAGGACATTGGCTATACACTCATCCTATCGTATTTCATTTCATTGCAATGATTACAATCCCCTCCATGGATCATTCAACAGCATTTGTTTCTAATACCTCTGTTTTCTTTCTTTCTTTTTTTTTTTTTTTTTGATGTACACGGAACCACTCAGGAACATAGGAACATATAACCATTCAAGCAACCAAAGAGTATACCCTGCATCCAGCCCCCCACCCCAGCTGCCAGCACACAGCCCCTCTCCCTCCTTGAGTCTAGATTCCTCACTCGCTCCATCTTTCCACATCATCATCTCTGGCATAGCTGCTTCTCTGCACAGGGTTCTGCACTCTGCTCTTCTCCCTTGATAATCCCAGGGTTCTCCACTCCTGGACTGCAAGACCAACCACTTCTCTCCTTTGTTACAAAATATCTACCTTTACATTTTCAGAATTCACAATCAGTCTTGATAGCAATTATTCACGATTGAACCACAAGAGTCTTATACCCATCGCCTTTCATCAGCCCCATCTAGACAGGTTGGAAACCACTCAGTGGAGACTCTACCTCCCCCTGCACCCTCTGAAACTAAGCTCCCTCTTGAAAAGCCAGTCATTTTGTGCCTGTGTTGTTCCTCTCCTCCCCACATTTTGGGTAGCCAATGTCTAAGTTGCCCATCTCTGTCAACCCTGTGTGCAGAAAGGGTGGACGTCATCTTTTCTGTAAAGATCTGTTCCCTCTTTTAAGTTCCTACACCCATAAGTATAGGTCAAGTTCATAAAATTGTAGCAATTGCACTTTTTTCCCCTCTTCTTTCTTCCTCTAGTCGAGTTCTGTTCATCAAGCCGTTGAAGCTAGGTCAAATGGGTACTATCTGCAAATGCGGGCATTCTTGTGCATCTCCCCCCACTTTATATCATCTGGATGCTTCACTCTCCACTCTAGTCCTCTGTGACTATGTCCCTATCCATGGACTCAGGAGTTCCCAGGTCTCGGTATACTGCTGGCCAACCAGGTCGCGATCCATGTTGCCAGGAGTCTATTGAACGTGATTGGACTTAGTTCACAGCTTCATTGCTGTTTTTGCCCCCACTTCCCCTTATCGGTAGACCAATATGGTCACCAGCAAAATTACATGCCTGCTCATGTATTACCTTTGAGTTTCAGTGTTGGAAGGGGTTTTACCCTGAGGGGACTTGATTGCTTGCCTTGATGGCTTTCCTGTGAACAACTTGCTTATTCTTGTTTTTTATTTTTCCTGCTGGTCTTTCCTTAAAGAAGTATCTTCTATTCCTCTAGCTGCTCCAGGCTGGTCTGCTTGTCTTTTCAATTGGAAATTTCCCACCTCAGAAGATTCTGGTTGGTGATCAGGATTCCACTATGGTCTTATTCAATACAAAGGCTCCGCAGGAAGCCTCTTTCATTGGGCAAGTTCTAGCCCCATTTTAGGTATTCCAATCAGTTATAGGCTGAAGATGGGCTTACAAGCTTTCTATAGTGATGTTTCTGGATATTCCTTTCTCTCCTCAAGTGTCTAGTTTTCAATAGTAGGCAAGGAAAACCAAGATTCATAAGACAGTCAAGCAACCAGGCACACTCTTAAGGAGAGAATGTTCACTCATGCCTATTTTGTTGCACTCATAACTGTCATAGAATGGAAATGTTCTAGTTTCCACTGCCTTTAAGCTCCAGAAGAAAGACATGACTCTAATGAACTGAAATGACTGTGTTATTATGTATAGCTAGATCCAGGCTTAGCAATAAGTGACAATCTGTTCTTCCATTCATAATGGCAGAGTGGCTAAGATGGTTGTGGCTGTCTTCCTAGCATCTTAGTCAGTGACTGCTGATGAATTACTGAATTGATCATTAGATGAGTGAATGCATGAATGAAAATGTATTCTGTCAAAGTGTCACAATAGGAGGAAAGGTGAGAATTCCTCCATTTTGGTTCACTGGAGTAGGCTGTATGGCTGACTGTACTTTCAGACCAGATCATGTCTGAAATGTTATCTGAAGTGATGCTGTGATCTCTGGTATAAATCTGACTCTGCTTGTTTCAAAGTGTTGTAATCAAGGACTGTTCTGAAGAATGAATCTGTGGTTATGTCGTCTTCTCCAAGGGAGAGGAACGCCTCTCCCTAAGAATATCTTACACATGGTGGCACAGTGGGTTAAACATTGGGTCTCTAACTGCAAGGTCAGCAGGATGTGAAAGAAAGATGAGGCTGGCTGCTCCCATAAGGATTTCCAGTCTCAGAAACCCTAGTGTCACTTTGATTTAGGAACAACTGCTGTGCATGGGGTCGCTATGAATCGGTTCTGGCTCGATGGCATCTGACAGCAACAACAACAACAGATGGCAGTGGGTAAGAAAGAATACCCTTCTTCAATAGGCCATTCTCAGTAGCAAGTTTCTTTTGTGAGTGCCATTCCATCAGTTCTCTGAGTCACACCGAATCTCTGTCTGCAGACATATCCCTTTGTTGCTGACCATGCTCTTCCATCATGTTTGTTCCTCAGTGTGGCACACTTGGCTGTGGCCTCTGCTTTAACATACCCTTCACATTCATATCATTCCCATGCTAGTGGGAATGCACTGCAGTTTGCATTCCTCTCTGTCCCCATATTGTAATTATTTTCATTACTACTATTGTTGACCTTGATGACACTGCTTTCTCCTGATTTCCTGCTGTTTGCATAGAGTTTGATTCCTCAGAATTTCCTAGTGGCCTACATGTTCTACTGACTCAGTGGCTGAGAATATAATCTGGGTAAGGCATGGAGCTCCAAGGTACCTCATTTTAACTGGGGTGAGGATGAATACTTGGTCAAGGGGACAGGCTCACTTCTATATAATTGGACTTCCAGAGGCTCAACTGACTTTCAAGGGATGGTGGGTGTTATTTTTCATGGTTATGTATCATATTTGCATAGAAGCAGAGATGTTACAAATATTTATTATGCATTCAGTGGAGGAAACAATCTATTTTGATGAGTTTTAAGGTTGTACTGTTGACTAATCTGTATTAGTATATCTAACCTTTAAATAAGTTGCTCTGGTAGTTTAGTGGTAACAAGTTAGGCTGCTAACCTCAAGATCAGTGGTTTGAAACTATCAGCCATTCCATGGAGAAAGATGAGGCTTTCTGCTCCCATAAAAAGCCCTGAAGTTGTTAATTGGCTTTAGTTTGAGAAGAAATTGAAATTAGTGTAAGCATTTATACAATTTTCCCTCTTCCTCATACCTCTAATATGGCATGGACCACTATGGATGTCAATGATACACTAAGGTGGGAAAAACACAGATCTATGTAATAAGGAGCTCTGGTAGCGTAGTGGTTACGAATCGGGCTGCGAACCTTAAGGTCAGCGGTTCGAAACTACCAGCCGCTCCGCGGGAGAAAGATGAGGCTTTCTACTCCCGTAAAGATCTACACCCTCGGAAACCCTGTACAGGGTCGCTATGGGTCGGACCCGACTCGATGGCACTTAACAACAACAACAACAATGTAGATAATATCTGTAGATAATTCAGAAGCAGAGGTCTGCCCTAGGGGACACAATCACTAAGTTGGGTTTAACTCCAAATGGAAAATGAAGGAAGGAGAAAGGGAACTAGTCAGGAGCATTTCTGTCCATGTGGTTCTAACAGTGTTGTTGTTATTGTTGTTAAGTGCTTTCAAGTTGGTTCAGCCTCATGGTGACCCTAGGTGACCTTATGGTGACACTAAGGCAGAATCAAGTTCACATGAGCAGCTGATGAGCTTGAATATCCAGCATTGTGGTTAAAATGGACCTTAAAATCCGGCACATTAACCCACGGCACCATGCCAGGACTCCTCTAACAGTGTGGTAGATAGAAAAGCATTACTTGGAAAACAAAAATCAACAGAAAATAGGTTACCTATAAGTAAGTAGTGCAAAATCAATTTGTAACAAATACAAAAAGGATTTTATTGCTTTTCTTAAGGACTTGCTTTTCCTTGGACCTTTATTTTGATATCGTTTGTTTATAAACTTCAGCATTATAAAATGAATCATGTCAAGTATTAATTTGCAAATTGTGGAGTTTGTAATATATTGTTTATAGAATTTATATAAGAAAGAAAGGATCAGTCTTAAAATACCTATTACTAGTATTAACCGTAGTGAATGCAAACTAATGTCAAAATAACCATTTTAATTTTTATAAAATTATAGTTTATAAGTTGATTTCTATAGAAAATATACAATGAATTCTAATTCAAGACTAGAGCACTTATTTCTCCCCATGATGAGACTCCTTGAAGAGGTGGGGCTAGTGTGGGTCAAGGAAATCCTTATAGGCATCAGTGATTTATTTCTCTGTATGCTGATCATGTTGATCCATCTCCATATATCCTAAGATGAACATGATTTGTAGAGCTACATCCTCCACCACATAAACCAACTATTTGCTTCTTCAGTGTTCATTCACATTTATTCATAGTTGCATAGAGAAAATTGTGAATTCTTTAAAGTTGGATATAAAGTTACATGTTGTTGTTGTTAAGTACCGTGGAGTCAGTTCTGACTCATAGTGACCCTGCACAGGGTTTCCGATGCTGTAAATCTTTACAGGAGCAGAAAGCTTCATCTTTCTCCCATGGAACAGCCAGTAGTTTCAAAAGTGCCAGCCTTGAGTTAGCAGCTGATTCATAACCACTATGCTATTAGTATGTTATTTCTGTCATTATCAGTCCCCAAGTTGAAAGCTGAAATACTCTATTATTTTTATACTATAACTAGTACTAGAAAATCCTTTCATGTGGCTAAGTAATTGATTCAAGGGCATAGTTTTATGGAAAGTGGGATTAATGAAGTCCTTTAGGACTGGTTGAAATTCATAAATAGTGGCAGACAGTCAATTTAGGGATGAAGGGAGAATGAAATGAAACTTGTGTATTTTTTC